GCCTCCTGGGTTCAGGCAATTCTCCTGCCTCAGCCTCCTGAGTAGCTGGGATTACAGGCACGCACCACCATGCTCAGCTAATTTTTTGTATTTTTAGTAGAGACAGGGTTTCACCATGTTAACCAGGATGGTCTCGATCTCTTGACCTCATGATCCACCTGCCTCGGCCTCCCAAAGTGCTGGGATTACAGGCTTGAGCCACCGCGCCCGGCCTCAAATGTTTATTTTTTAAAAAATATGGAATGCCTCACAAATTTGTGGGTCATCTTTGTGCAAGGGTCATACTAATATACTCTGAATTGTTCAAATTGTAGGAGATGTAAGCGCTGCTGAGTTCTAATGTCATGTTAGGCTTGGATTTTCCCTGTTAATCTGTGAATGCTATAATGAATTGTCTCGGCTTTCTACCAGTATTGCAGGGTGTGTTAACAGAGCGTAACAGGACCTAGTCTTCCAGGAAAAGAGACTCCATCAATATCACTAGCCATTTGCAGCAGCATTTTGTATCTCCGGCACAAATGCCGACCACAGATGCTCCCACTAATGGTGACTTATCTCCTTTTGCACTTATTTTTGACTGTGTACTGTGAACTTTATCTGAGTGGATTCTTTGAGGCCTATGATGAAGTTGTCTTTCCATGGAGAAAACATGAATTTACTTTTGCCAGTTTCCTGACATTTAACCTAGGTTCCTAGAACTAATCTTAGATCTAGTTCTAGGCTTGGGGTGCCTGAGTATCCCTAAGCAATGTAAACCCAAGCTGTGAGGGCTGGCCCATGCCCACACAACTTCTCAGAGAGATATTTTTCTTTTTCCTTTTCTCTTTGCTCTGCTAAGTGTTAAGTCCTATAGATCCCCGGACTCGGGAGGGGGTGAGTAGTTTTAAGAGTATAGCATTTTCTGGTCCCAGGTTAATGTGGAAAAGGTCTCTTATTAGACTTCTCAACTTGGATAGGTCTTGAGTATTGGATTCTATCCTCTTTGTGTGGCCATTAAAACCAAAGTCTACACTTGTCTAGCATAGGCAAAAGCTGCTTTGATGTTCAGGTTGGGACAGGATGGGGCAAGTCCTGGCCTTGTTCAGGGGCACTGTGCTTACTTCTCTAGAGTCTAGATTTTCTCTAGGTTTTTTTGTTTTAGACAGAGTCTGACTCTGTCACCAGGCACCAGGCTGGAGTGTAGTGGTATGATCTCGGCTCACTGCAACCTCCACCTCCCGGGTTCAAGCAATTCTCCTGCCTCAGCCTCCCAAGTAGTTGGAACTACAGGCATGCACCACCACGCCCAGCTAATTTTTTTTTTTTTAGTAGAGACATGGTTTCACCGTGTTGGCCAGGATGATCTCAATCTCGATCTCGTGATCTGCCTGCCTTGGCCTTACAAAGCGCTAGGATTACAGGTGTGAGCCACCACGCCCAGCCACTGGTCCATTTTTTAACTTTCTATTTTCCTGATTTACTCCTCTATTCTTCTGGTGATACCCTAATTACTGTATAACTGCATATTTTACTATCTGATTGAGCAGGAACCTCTCCGTGTGGGGACACACACACACACCCTCCATGTGCCTCTTTGTGAAACTTATCTTGGGAATTCCAGCATAATTTCTTTTCTAGGTGAATTTTAGAATAAGCTTGTCAGATTCGTTTAGAAATCTGTTGATATTTTGACTGGAATTGTGTTGGATTTACATGTTAATTTACAAAACCTTGGCATATTTACAACACAGATTCATTCAGATGTACAGCTTTAATTTATTCAGGTTTCTTTGTTTAATGTTCTCCAGATAAATTTTAATTTTTATTCCTTGGGTATTTTACTCCACTTTCATTAAATTTATTCCTAGCTATTTTATAATATTTGTTGCTACTGTGAAAGGATTTTAAAAAATAAGTCTTTGTGCTTGTTGTATTTCTAAAAGATAAAATGGACCTTTATTTAGATTTATCCTAAGTCTTAAAGGTTACTTGGATTACCACTGACTTGCAGTCTTCTCTTGGATTCATTTTTCATTTTGCTGGAGCATGTCTTCTAGCTATTATTTCAGCTAGGGTTTGTGGGAGATACATTTTCTGAATCCATTCATGTCTGAAAATGTCTCATGTTTGAAAATGTCATTACACTTGTCTGATTGTCAGATTACAGAATTCTAAGTTCAAAATCATTTTCACTTCAGTATTTTAGAAAATATTTCTCTAGTGTCTTCTTGTACTCAATATAGCTAAAGAATCTGAAGTCAAGAGGGTGCTTTTTGTTTGTAAATAACATGTTTTTCTCTTTAGAAGGTTTTAAGAGTTTCTCATTATCCATAAAGTACTAAAATTTTACCAGTATTTTTTAGAATGGGTCTTTCCCAGTCTTCTTGCTTGGCACAAAGTGGGCCTTAACATAAAAACTTGAGTCTTTTTTCATATCTAGGGAATTTTATTTGATTTATTTTTTCTGAGTTCTATTTTCTCTTTCTGGAAATCTTATGATATGGATATTGTAATGTTTGGAGGTATCCTCCAAGTGCCTTAACCTTTATTTCATACTTATCATCTCCATCTCCCTGTCTGTTTGTATTATGATCTGAGAGAATTTCTCAGTTTGATCTTGAGCATCCTGGTTGCTCTTCAGCTATGATAATTTTGCTATTCAGCCTTAATGTTTTTACTTTTGCTATCAGATATTTCATTCCTAAAATATCTTATCTTTTTTTCTTTCATTAAAGTTTGCTCTTATTTCATGGATAAAGTAACCTCTCTAAATACATATTGTAGTATTTTATGTTTTAAACTCCTCAAATGTTTATTTATTTTTTATTTTATTTTTATTTTTTGAGACGGAGTTTCACTCTTGCTACCCAGGCTGGAGTGCAATGGCGCTATCTCGGCTCACCGCAACCTCCGCCTCCTGGGTTCAGGCAATTCTCCTGCCTCAGCCTCCTGAGTAGCTGGGATTACAGGCACGCACCACCATGCTCAGCTAATTTTTTGTA